ATATATATATATATATATACATGAAAATTTTTACTTTTCACGTTTCCGCTCTAAAGAAAAAGTTTCATGATCGATACTCCGATTATAGATGATTAATTCAAAATTGGATTCATGTCGGACTGGTGATGTTTTTGCTTCAACTATCGCCGTTTAACAACGACGAGGGATAGGACAACAGTAAAAATAAACGCGATCTTATCAAATAATCTTTCAGTGTATTTAACTTGTCATGTTTAAATCGGTAAGTATAATTAATGCATCGCGATTTATGCACTAAAACAATTGTCGCTTAAACAAGTATCACGATAATACATCGGACATGTTATTATCTGATAAAGAGAGAAAGAGAGCGAATGTAATTCCTCCAGGGCGTTATACATATAAACTAATTCATGAATATAAATTTCCAATGCTGGCGAAAAAGTTTTCTGTCTCACGTTTGCCTATATTAATAGCGGCTAGAAAATTTCTTAATTATCGTGCTCATGCATCTCTTGAGAGAGAGAGAGAGAGAGAGAGAGAGAGAGAGAGAGAGCTCTCTATTTACATTCTAGAATGTAAATTTCTTCGGGCATTTCATCCTTCGCGCGCGCTTTAAATCAATTCATGAATATAAATTTTCAATATCTGCGGAAAAAGTCTTCAGATAGTTATCTCGCGCTGATCTATCGTAATTTTGTTGCTCACGAACGTGGGGAAACGTTGCCCGATACGAGAACGCGATGCACGATACGATAAGAGCAAACAAGGTTTATTCAGTGTGACTGATTTCAATTTATCTCGCGGCGCATCCCGGTTTAATCGCGAACGTGGGGAAGGCAACGTTTTTCGTTACATATCTCGTGACTACCGAATCCGCCTGCTGATCGAGTGTACACGCTTATCTCGATGTACCACCGACATGTTTTATACGCCTCTGAAAAGAGAGTCGTCGTCATACGGAGAATCCTTGTACGCGCGCTCCATAATATTTACTCATTCAAGAGAAAAACCAGTTCGCAGGTCCCGGTTTAACAATCGCAATTGTCCGGCGAAACACGCACGCGAGATAAATAAGGCCTTGTTTCGAAAAGGCAATCTGTTCCCGTTCGCGCGCGATGCGTGACGGAATTTCCACGTGGAATTTTCACTGTGATCAGAATTGAGTCTCTCGAGTATCTACTTGTCTGACCAACTTCGAGTGTCGTTAATTCTAACAATGTACTCGAATATGACGACAAAGAATACGAAATACAGTACGCAATAAAAAATTGTTAAAATATATTTTTATAGTACTCGTTAAAGTATATAAATATATGTTATATATTATAATTTTTTATTATATGTTATAATTTATTATTTATAATATATTATTTATTTTTATTATTTTTTAATTTCTATTTAAATTATAATCTAGTAATATTAATTATCCATTTAAATTATTTATTTTATTCAATTTTCATGTTACTAGATAAGGAGTCGATTGATTTTATCGCAGACTCAAATGTTACAAAATTATACCATAAATTATCCAATTTGTAAAGTAATAGATTCTTACGTGAAGGACTTTAATCGCAATGAGAATAAATCGAGTAAATCGATGAGAATAAATCGTGATCGTAATATGGAGCCGTATCTTTTTCTTCGCGCGCGAAAGATCATTGAATCATCGAATAAAAAAACCCAAGAAAAAGTATAGGCATTGATTTTTATTCTCTGAACTTTATCTCCGCAAGCGCCGCTTCTGAGAAAGATGTAGATTGATTTACGCAATACAATAGCCCCGAATGCTACGACGCAACGACGGCGTAATACGGCCAATCTTATGTCCGCCTTGACACCACTAACATTCGTCAAAAATAACTCACGACCGTCCGTAATTAAACGAGAGCGTATTCCCCGACCTTCGACGATGCGCGAATTGATTCACAATCCGATTCACAATACGAGACAAACCGATCATTCATTGCTATGATGATCTATTATTATCGTAAAAACTACTTAATTGTTTAATCATTATTCCGTATCTTATTTACTTTCGATTATCTCAATGAATTATTGCATAGAATAAAAAAATAGCATCTTACAGGATAAATTAATTAATATATTAATAGAACACAAAAAAAATGGTATCTTGTAGGATAAATTAAATAGCAGCGATATAGTTACGGGGAAAAAATATCTCCGCGGGAAAACAAGGGTCTGTTTTGTGATGAAAATAATTTGGCGCCTGGGTGCCGTGCCGCGAAACAAATCAAGATTTATCGATTCGCCTGCGGATACGTGCCATTTCCATTGGCTGCAGAGAACGAACGAGGCACGTCGACAGCCAAAACATTTCTGAAATAGATCGCACGTCGTAATGTATATATCTAGGTCATATTTACCATAGAACAAAACTTTCCGGAAACTCCGAAAACATAAGTGCCTCTCGCTATTGCTCGCCAAACTGAACAGGTATGCTTATATTTTTAATTTAAATATATATACATCAAGTATACCTAAGCTAAATTTATTTTGTGATGCAGTGTCTGAATCCACAATCCACATTTCAATCTAAATAGATACGATTTGGAAAAACCGCCGCGTCATTGATATGTTTAAATAGCTGAGAAAAAAAATAGTTGCAATTATTATAACTTCATTATAATTTATAGTCATTTTCAATACCAACTATATTTTTATGTAGAATTACAAATATAATTATTATTACTAACATTATATACTTAAAGATAGACATATATGATGATGAAGTTACAAAGGTGACAATTACTCAAGTTTTATATATGTGGAGTTGATAGATTATTTTACCATTGTTGCAACTTGTAGCGCAGCTACAAGTAATAGTAATATTATAATTTCTCACTCAATTGTTACGCATTGACAGGAGAAAAATTTTTAGTACTTATATAAAACTATAATAATAACTATAATTACAAATTATTATAATTGTGATTATTACTGTTAATCGTTGTAATATTAATAATACTATATATAGCTTTATCAATAAATCTATGTAATTAGCCCAAAAATGGCTATGAATTATAATTAAATTATAATAACTGCAATCATTTGGTAATATTGGATTGGCAAAGAAGTAATTGCGTTTTTTTTTTAAATTCAAAGCTGTATATACAATATTTTCGTCAGTAATGAATGAAATTTAAATTTAAAAAAAGAGTTTTAAAGCTTGAA